CTCTCTATTTTGGGGGGTAGTGATTTGCTCCGGGACCTTGCTTTTTTTATGGATCTAAGAAGAGGTTTGATATTTTGTTTTGTTTAGCTTTTTACACAGGTGGAGTGGTTACTTTCAAGCTCTTTATATGTTAGATCAGACTTTTTAAAACAAATTAAATAATTGATATTGTGCTAAAGGAATCTAATAGGAAAAATCATCATGAATTATACTCTGTAACTATAAATCTAAGATATATGGACCAAAAATAAAAGGAAAAGAATAGGCACTTTATAATTTCTAAATGAGCTCTAACCTATATATTCTTGTCTAATTGCAAACCACATTGTCTTTTTCTAAAGCCCAAATTTGAAATAGTAAAATAATCAGTGCATGTAAAATATAGTGCCTAGATTTTGGTCTGAAATGCTATTCGCCATTAAAATAAACTAAGGTTTCTTGGAGAATGACTGATTCCATTTCCTAGAGGAAAAAATTTCAAAGTGGGTCTAAATCATCATGTTTTAAGAATAGAGGATCTTTAAAGGGCTTTTAAAATTCTAGAATGGCATTAAAAGTCCTAGTCAACCCTTTCCAATTGCCAATATGACAATTTGAACATCAAAAATAAACAAAATTATAACTATAATTTTAGGTTAAGAATAACAAATCAGATTTAATTGTTGCTTCATAATGTACATTTTCACTCCCTAAGAACTTCACAGTATGTAGGAAGAAAATAGAGACCTTCCTCTACCATAGAGCTAGTTTTTAAATTTTTACTTTAATACAAATAGTACATATCCATCACCCAAAATTACAGAGAGAGAAATATAACTTGGCAATTTCTTTGGTGCTCTGACGGCTTGCTTTGATGTAATTAATGGAATCAAATGAAAATGATTTTGGGTGTTCTCCCTGGGTTTTCTTAGGAAACCAGCCAAAAGGACCTGGACCTCTGGTCTTCCAGTGGGAGGGACTGCATCTGAACTCAACTGGCCATGGTACTATCTTACAACTAAACTTTCCATGTGACTCAAAGTGTGCAGATACTGAGTAGCTGACTTTCTTGGACAAGCCTTTTTTTTTTTTAAGATTTATTTTAGAGAGAGAGAGAGAGAGAGAGAGCCCGCAGGGGGAGGGGCAAGGGAGAGAGGGAGAGAGAGAATCCTAATCTCCCCATTGACCATGGAGCCTGAGCTAGGGCTCAATCCCACAACTATGAGATGATAACCCAAGTGGAAATCAAGAGCTGGATACCTAACTGACTGAGCCACCTATGTGTCCATCTTGGATAAATCTTATAAATAGTTGCACCTAAACCAAGACTGCCTGGTGTCCCAGCGATTACCCTACTGGCAAGATTCTTTTCATGTTTGCCCTATAAGAAGGGAGAGCAATGAGGGGATGGAATTCCTCTCCTATAATGTAAGCTCACACAAGATCCAGCATAGTGCTCTGGCCCCAATATACTTCTCCTTGAAATAATGGCAGATGACCGGAGCCTGTGTTTTTTCCTTAGCTTTGTAAGCAAGCTTTATTTTTCACCAATAAATCCTAGCCCTTAACCTAGTGGTTCTAACTTTGGTAGTGGGTCAGAATTACCTGGTGGGCATGGTAAAACACAGATTGCTGCGTCCCACTTCCAGATTTCTGGTTCAGTAGACCTGGAATAGGGTCTGGGAATTTACATTTCTAGCAAGTCCCCAGGTATGCTGATATTTTGGTCAGGGGACCACACTCTGAGAACCTCTGTCTTAATTCATGTGTCTATGTGAACATCAGCCCACAAGGGGTCCCATTGGCACAGCCTTTACCTAGGAGTTAATCACTGTCCTTTCTTGTGCCCTACTTTTTTTTTTTTGTTTTGTTTTACCACATAGGTAAGAATTCTTTTTTTTTTTAAAGATTTTATTTATTTATTTATGAGATACGAGAGAGAGAGAGAGAGAGAGAGAGAGAGAGAGAGAGAGAGGCAGAGGGAGAAGCAGGCTCCATGCAGGAAGCCTGATGCGGAACTTGATCCCGGGACTCTGGGATCAGGCCCTGAGCTGAAGGTAGATGCTCAACCGCTGAGCCACCCAGGTGTCCCATAGGTAAGAATTCTTAACAAATAGATTACTTACTCTTCTCACTCATCCATCCAGTGTATAACCATAATTAATTCATTTTCACTGTTCTATGATATTCTGTTGTGTAAATATAACTATTGATAGACATTTGACTTGTTTTCAGGTTTTTGCTTGGAAACTGCTATGAAGAGCCACTTCTTTAAGGAATCATAGAATTACCCTTTCTTTGTGAAAGAACCCAATCTAGAGGGAATCCTTCTTCCCTCCGACCTTTCCTTAAATTCTAACATCCTCTTACTGAGACACTCAGTGGTATGTATTCTACCTTGCTCAGTGAATACTGAACTCAACTTGTTCAATTACATATGTGCCTGTAGTATTTGGCTGAAGGGTTTATATGTAAAATATCTTCACATTCTTTGTTGCTGGATATGTATTTCTAATAGCCAAACTTTTGTGTTTAGTTCATCTGAAATTCATTTTTGTGTATGACACCATATGCATGTAGAAATCTAATCCCACTTTTTCTTGGTAACCATTTCTCATAGCAACAGTGCATTCAATGTCATTCCTTTCTGTGCTTTTTCCCTATCACATGCAGAGCCACCTCTGCCATATACCAAACTTCCACCTAAACATGGGTTAAATTAGATCTTATTCATTTTAAAAATGTAATAAGAAATAGTTTAAGACTTTAAGATTGAAGGTTTCAAGGCTGTGAAACACTGTTTAAATATGTAAATCATAAAGCAATGTATACAAATTAATGTTTTAAGTTGGTATTAGTTGATGTAATGATTCAGTAATAAAACTTATCAATATTTTAAAAAGATCATTCAGAGGGTAGAAAATTTAGTAAGACTATGGAAGTCCAGAGAAAAATTTAAATGCAGAGGTGTGTATATGCTTAACAAAGTGATTGCTAACAATTTTTTTAAAGGCCCAAACCACACAAAGTATCCCTTTCATTATCTTCCATACGGTAAAGAAAATATAAAAGGGACGCCTTTTATACTTTTACCTGTGTCTTTATATAGTCAGAGAATCTAATATTTAAAATTTTATATGAAAGAATTGCATAAATCTTTTCAAGACACAGGAAAGTCTGAAACAAAATGGTAGAAGTAAGAATAGAATCAAAGGGGAGAAAATGCCAAAAGTGAGGACAAGTGAAAAGAAGCCTAAGAATGGCTCCCAGTATTCAAAGTTATAGAACCTTGAGATGATGAACCCTTGACAAAATTGGATAAGGTACACAGGAGTGGCCTGTTTGGGGGAAAAGATGATATTTTTTTTTCTTCCCAAGTCTCCTGCTCCTAAACTGTCCTCTATTTTCAAGAAGCTTGAAATTTGTTTTAATGGCTGGCAAAAGTAAAAAGTTTAAAATCCATAGGAGGCAAGTGGTTCATTGGTGCTTAAATTTCATGTAAATTCACTGTCCTTTTTTGCTTGCCTTTTTTTTTTAAAGAGATTTAATTAATTTTAGAGAGAGTAAGAGAGAGTAAGCAGGGAGAGAGGGGGAGGCAGAGAATCTGATAGACTCTTTCCAGAGCATGCAGCCCATGCCTCTGCTCTCTGGCTCTGAGATCAGAGCCCCAATGGAAACCAAGAGTCAGACACCCAATGGAATCAGGCCAGCCAGGAATTTTGAAGATGTAATTCCTGTAACTTATAAACTGAATCTAGAGGAAGCAACCTGGAGAACGATCATCAAAACGGGAGTTAAGAGATCAGGATTTTAATCACAATTCTGCCACTAATCTAAATGGCAATGGGGTTAAGTGTGTGGGTCTCCAGTTCCTCAAATGAAACTACATCACCTACAAGTTTACTTCCAGAGCTAAAGTTCTAAGTCTTAAGCAAATGTAAAATGTATCCCTGTAAATCCAAACTATCCTACAGCTGAGTTGCAGCCAAGCATTTGTCACGTGAGTCATAGGGCCATTTCTTCCCAGGTCTTAAACCATGTAGTGAACCCTACCTCTGTTTTGTTTTTTTTTTTTTTTTGTAGCCTTAGAGTTGACAAGATTTGGAGCACTACCAATAGTTAAGGCCAAGCTCCCAGTACAGGACATCTGTATGGTCAGGAAATCTCCAAAACAGGAACACCAAATGATGTTCTGACAGCCTCCATCAGAACAAAAGTCAGGGCTGCTTTGGCCTGGGGACTTTGCACTCCCTTCCTCCCTCCTTCCTTTTTTTTTTTTTTTTTTTTAAGATTTTATTTATTTATTTATTGATGAGAGGCAGAGACATAGGCAGAGGGAGAAGCAGGCTCCTCACACTCCTCACTCGATTCCCTGACCTGGGATCATGCCCTGAGACCAAGGCAGGTGCTCAACCTCCACCGCTGAGCCACCCAGGTGTCCCTTTTATACTTTCTTTACCATAACTAACTTCCTTCCTTCCTCCTCCCCTCCCTCCTCCCTCCTTCCTTCCCTCCCTCCCACTCCCTCCTCCTCCCACCTTCCTTCCTTCCTTCCTTCCTTCCCTTCCTTCCTCCTTCCTCCTCCCTCCTCCTTCCTCCCTCCTTCCCACTTCCTTCCTTCCTTCCCTCCTCCTTCCTTCCTTCCTTCCTTCCTTCCTTCCTTCCTTCCTTCCTTCCTTCCTTCCTTCCTTCCTTCCTTCCTTCTTCCTTTCCTTTCCCTTCCCTCTCTTTTTCTTTTTTTTTTTTTTTCGCATTCTCAGACGCAAGCCTCCTTTCTTAAAACGAAGCCCTATTTCTTCGGTGATTCACTCAGGCCAGGGGAAGCGACAAGGGCCAAAGAAGTCCTCTGGGCCGGCGCAGGTGGCCGGGGCAGGCACGAGGCGAGCTCGCGAGGGGGTTGCGGGGGCGCGCCCGGGGCACGCTGGGAAGGCCGGGCGCCGCGGCCTGACCCGGAAGAGCTGGCGCGTGGTAACCCCGGCTTCCCTGGCAACCGAGCGGGTGCCTGCCCTACCCATCCGCATCCTCTGGGACGGCCACCGCCCGGGATGCCGCTGCTCGTTAGCGATTACAACTGGCAGCAGACGAAGACTGCGGTGTTTATCTCCGTGCCTCTGCGAGGCGTCTGCGTCAGGGACGCCGACGTGTTCTGCACGGAAAACTATCTGAAGGTAGGAGCTGCAGTTGGCCCGCCGCGTCCCGCGTTCGCGGTCCGCAGCCTCTGAGCGCTGCTGTGTGCGTGCCTCGGCACAGGCGCGGCCTTGCAGATAGATAAGCGTCCTAAAATTTAGTTCTTTTTTTTTTTTTAAACTGAATCCCATGAGGTGATATCTCATCTTTAGACAGATGTCATCAGACCAGAGATTATTTTATCCACAATTTCCTCATATGCCTTGTGTATCTTCCGCGACCTCGAGTAAATTTATAACAGGCATTAAAAAAAGAAAATGATTTTGGCCTCTCTCATTTTTTTTTTTTTTGAAGCCTGTGTCTCTATTTTCTGTAACTAAATTAACCTCTGTTTACCCTTTTCTGAATAGGTCAACTTTTCTCCATTTTTATTTGAAGTGTTTCTCTACGCGCCCATAGACGATGAAAACAGCAAAGCCAAGATTGGGAATGACACTATTGTATTCACCTTATATAAAAAAGAAGCGGCCATGTGGGAGACCCTTTCTGTGTCAGGTGGTAAGTTTTTTTATTAAAAGATGTTCATCTGGTTGTGTTTTTTTATATTTTATACCTTAAAAATTTTTTCCAAAACAATTGTTTCTCTTCTAGAAGAAAAAATAGGAATGTGAGCATGATTTAAATAACATAGTGCTTCAGCTACCACTTAAATAACTTAAAGATTGAATAGTTCAAAAGTTAGAGCACATTTATAATACTTCTCAAACGTGGCCTTGTATCTTCAGAGGATAAAGCCTCTAGGTATGGTCTTTATTGAGCACTTATTTTGTATTAGGTAATCCTCAGAACAACCTATTACTTAGATTACCCCCCACTACCCCATTGTTGTTTTTTTTTTTAAGGTGAGGCTACTGAGGCACAGAAGGGTTGAATAATTGGCACAGGTCACACAACTACTAAGGGGCAGACTGGAACTGGAGCTTTAGTGGTTTGACTCTAGAGCAGTGGTTCTTAAACCTGGCTACATATATGAATCACCTACATAACTTTTATTTTTATTTTATTTTATTTTAAAATTTTATTTATTAATTCATGAGAGATAGAGAGAGACACAGGCAGAGGGAGAAGCAGGCTCCATGCAGGGAACCTGATGCAGGACTTGATACCGGGACCCCAGGATCATGCCCTGGGCCTGAAGGCAGGCGCCAAACCGCTGAGCCACCCAGGGATCCCCCATAACTTTTAAATAAGACAGGTCTGAAACTTACCCTAGACCAATCGAGTCAGTTTCTGTGAGTGGGCAAAGCTTTCCAGGGATGTGCAAAGCTGATATCCCTGTACTCTGTACTCTTAATAAGTACTCTATTGGCTCTGTGGGTCAGTAATTGCCCTCTATTGCTTTACCTCTATTTTCTTCTCCCTGTTCTAGTTGTCATATCTTCTAGGGATTTATACCTATGGCCTAAAATTTCTCTTAGGCCTCTGGCATTGAGTCTTGAGTAGGAACTACTGAGAATGGGAAGATTGCAGTCATTCTTTTTGTTTTTAAGTAATCTCTACACCCAACAGGGGCTTGAACTCATGACACCGAGATCAAGAGTCACATACTCTTCTGACTGAGCTAGCTAGGCATCCTGCAGTCACAGTCATTCTTTATATTAATTATTTCTTGATATCTTGCAGTGGAATTTAATTTTGGAATCCCCAAGACCAGGTAGAATTTTTCTCTAAAGTGAAAAAATGATTTAGCGCCATTTTCAGCCCAGGGCCTGATCCTGGAGACTTAGGATGGAGTCCCACATCAGGCATGGAGCCTGCTTCTCCCTCAGCCTGTGTCTCTGCCTCTCTCTATCTCTCTCTTTCTCTCTGTTCTCATGAATAAATAAATTAAATATTTTAAGTCTAGTATTCAGCTCAGGAAGTACTGGTTAAGGTAGATTACCATAGCCAGACTACTTTAGCTCTTTAATCAGTTCCAGACTAACTTAAGAGTTTTTCAAAACCAAATTCTTGCTGTCCTACTCACTCCTTCCTTTGTGATTCAGTAAGTCTGAGATGGGGACTAGGACTATGTCATGATACTTACCCAGGGTGTTCTGACTTTTTACCTAAGATTTAAATGTAAACACTTTAATTTATTTCAACTCTTATTGATAAACTTAAATTTTAAAGTAAGACGGGTCCAGAACCATCATCTACTATAATGGCTTATTTTAAGATAAACAGATTGGGAGTGGTGGGACCCCAGGTGATTCTGATGACTGACCAGGCTTGAGAACCACTGACTTAAATGTGTGTGTGTGTGTATGTGTGTGTGTGTGTGTGTGTGTGTATGTATCTGTATCTGTCTCCAGGAAACATTTAGTCTGCCAACATTTTAGGATATAAAAAAAAAAAATCATCAGAGAACCTGTTACTTTTCCTTACATGACAGTTTCTTCTATGTCAAATTTCCTTCTTAACCTCTTTGGCCATCTTTTCCAGGAGTGGGAATGGTATTTTTGTTCTTAATCATGATCTCCCTCTCTGGTTTATACATCTGCTTTCAATGCATACCTGCTTGATTCTTCTCTCATGGTAATATGATCATCCTTTCCAAATTTTGACCACTTAAACCAAGATGTAACAATTTTTTTCTGTAGAGGACCAGATAGTATTTTGAATATTATGAGCCACGTGGTCATAATTACTTAGTTCTGCTATGGTAGCACAAAAGTAGCCAATAAACAATACATATTTATCGATACCAAAATTTGAATTTTATCTAATTTTTATGTCACAAGATATTATTTTGATTTTTCAACTATTTAAAAATGTAAAAAATTATTCTTAGCTTGTGTGCTTGAGGAAAACAGGCAGCAGGTTATATTTGGCTAAAGTTTGCCAACCTCTGATTTAGACTAAAACAGCCTTAAAACTAGCTTATGTAATAAGTATTGAACATTGATTTTACTTTAAAAACCAGGCTTGAGATTCCTTTAGAAATCAAACTCAGTTACACGTGCAATTCAGTGAAATTATTTAACAATATTATTTTTCATGTACAGTATGTGGAACTCTAGTCTATATACCTAGGCGTCCTCATTTTTCAAAACATATTTGCTTAATTTTTTTCCTGAAATTTTTTCTTGATATACTTTTCATTTCTTTTAGATGTGAAAGTAGGTTCTTTTAGTTATCTTTGCCCCTGAAGCTGGTCCAATTGTCTGCTACTTTGTTATTAAACAGGATGAGGGCTGGGAAAGGCTTCAGACTTAATTCCAGTCTTAAGTCCTAGCCAAGATTTTTGAATGAGTAAAAATTCCATGCTTTTTTTTTCTTTTTAAGACAATTTCTTTGAAAATTAAAAATCCATACTTTTTAACTGCTAACTGAAATTTAGCATTCTCAACAACAGTTACCAACAAATATCACAAGTACATTTATATCACAAGTACATTTATCTTTTATACTCACTACTTTGATATTATAGTATTTATTATACTTGTTGCTATATATTATTTAATGCATTAATGAAGAAGTATATATATATTTGTGTGATATTGTAGATCACAAAAAAAAACTCATCTCTTCTAGGAGACTTCATAGTGATGACTTATTATGATTCAGTTTATAAGCAAATAGCTCTGGTTGCTTGACAGAGAAGGAGAAGGATAAATATAGACTCTTTCCCTCCATACTGTGCCCTCCCCCTCTCATTTCACTACTTGCTCTCTCCCTTCTATGGCCCTCACCTTGTCCTAATCATCCCTTATTCATCCTCTCTCTTGTTCCTACTTTTTCTCATTCATGTTTTCTCTCTTTCTCTCTCATTCTCTCCCTCTGTAGTAATTAATTGCTGTTATAATTGCTTGCTTACTTTTTAATGTTAGCTTCTTGGCCAGTTTAATATTGAGAAAGGTTTTCATTTCTCCATGTGAAGTTGGGTACCCCCCCCCCCACAGTCTCATCCTGCATCAGTATGTTAAGCAGTCTTCTTGTAAGTCAAACATTCATCAAAATCCTAACTTAGTGATATTTCTTATTTTAGTTGACAAAGAGATGATGCAAAGAATAAGGGAGAAATCTATTTTACAAGCACAAAAAAGAGCAAAAGAAGCTACGGAAGCAAAAGCTACAGCAAGACGAGAAGATCAAAAATATGCACTAAATGTTATGATGAAGGTAAATAGCAGATTGATAGGAAAGTCCTCTAATTAAAGAGATAATAGTAAACTGTGTAGGATAATTTATTCCAACCACTGTACTTCTTCACCTCTTTATTCAGACTTTGGTTATAGGACTTACTGTGTTAGAGAGGCTATCTACTACTTACATGTGTGAAAATCTGATGAAAATGAAGAGCATAAAGGTTGAACAATAGATTGTTTTAGGGAGAATGTTCTGTTTCCAAGGGAGTAAAAATATTATAATTTTCTATGGTAAAAGTGTTTTACTTCTTTTTAAATTTTGTAATAATGGACATTATTTAAAATAAGATCCTAGCTAAACACTAGATATTGATATTAATATCTTTCTAATTGTTGAGGCTTCCAAGTTAAAGCTTTTTTAAAGAAAGATTTATTTATTTATTTTAGAGAGAGAGAGAGAGAGCAGACAAGCAAGGGGAGGGACAGAAGCAGGAGAGAATCACAAGCAGGCTCTTACTCCCCGCTGAGCTTGGAGCCTAATGTGGGGCTTGATCTCACACTTGAGCCAGAATCAGGAGTTGGCCACTTAACCAGCTGAGCCACCTCAAGTTAAAGCTTTAATCAGCAATATATTTTTTGAGGATAATTCACTTACCAAGCAATTCACCTATGTAAAGTTTACAATTCATTAGTTTATAGTATTTAGAGATGTGCGTCCATTACAATATTGGGGGATATTTTCATCACGCCAAAAAGAAACCATGTGCCCTTTAAGAGTCACTCCATTTCTCCCGTTCACTCCAGCCCCAGGCAACCATTAATCCCACTTTTTTTCTTTATAGATTTACCTATTCTGATTAATTTTTACAAGTAATTTCTTATCTCATATTCTCATTTTGACATATTGAAATGATTAAAGAATCTATAACTGACATTTCCTCAAGAGCTCAGTGTTCATTTTGCAATTAACTTTATTCGATTAATTTGAATTTAAAAGATTAGGGTTTAAGTAATAAAGAGGACTTGACTCATCCAGCGGGAAAAGTTCAGAGATAAAGCAGTGATCAGATATAGTTAAGACAAGGCTCTGATTCCATGTCTCTGCATCATCCTTTAGCACTGCCTTTTCTTTGTGTCTGCTCATCCTTAGGTTGATAGTGAGATGATCCACGTCTGCATATAACAAGGCCCAGTGGAAGACAGGCTCCCTTGTAAGCCCCACAAAACAATTGCTTTAGATGTTGTAAAATGATACTAAAATTTGAACACATTGCAACACATATTCAAGTGAATCTTGAAGTCTTTGTTGCTTACCACTTGGTTTATAGCATCAGCTTTTTGGTGTCTTTGTGCTGATCTATCATTCGTTCATTTTAGAGTCATTTGTTGAATACTGTGAAAGGTGTTGCTATGAGTTGAACAAGTCAGTCTTCACTTTCAGTTTACTCATGATATACAGAAGATGACAGACAAGAAAAAAGAGATTACATCATAGGATGCCTGAGAAGTCATGGGAGGATAAAAAGAGAACACTGACAAAAGACTGGTATCTCAGTCTGAGAGTATAGGCAGGAAATATGAGGCAGTGTTGTTTATGCTGAGTATTGGAGAATGAGTCACAGGTATCTGAGGAATAAATGGAAAAATTACAGACCGCTTGGATAAATCCATGACAGAACATGGCCCAATGAGGCAAGATTTGTTGGTGAGAAATAAAATCTTAATATTTTGAAAATTTTTCTGAAGGTAATAGGAACTCTCTAGGGATTTTTCAGCAAGACTATCAAATTAATTGGGTTTGTATGTTGCAAAAGCTCATTCTGGCTAATGAGCATGAAGTGGTTGCCAGGGTGGAGGCAGAGCTTTTGTATTGTAAGATGGAAAGAACCTGAGTGTATTTATATATTGAAGGAAGCTAGTAAAGAGGGAGAAGTTGATAATACAACCAAGGGAGGGGATTGATGGTGATGGAACAGGGTGGGATGAAGGTTGGAACAGCTGAAAAAAATTAGTCTTAGCTAAGAGTGGGATATTTTATCTTTGGACACTAGAGGGCAGGAATAATGAATAACAGGATTTGGAAAATTCTTAAGGACACATAGTTAAAAGAAGCCTTTGTTTTCAGGATGAAGGAAGCAAGAGGGAAAGACTGAGATGAAGGTATAGGTTTTGAAGTGATTAATGAAAGTTTGAAATATTGATGCCAGGCTAATCATCTGAAGCAGGCTCTCTTTGACAATTTTCACTGCTATGGCCTGCTTTTTCTCTTCTTTCCTGTTTTAGAGATTGCCCTCTTCTGAGTTTTCTTTTTGTTTTCTTCTTCAGGGGAAGTACTACTTCACTTTTGCCCTCTAAGCTTTTAATCTAGGTAAATTGAATTTGAAGTGCTTTCTTCTACTGTCATTTTCCTGAAGTTGAAATCAGAAATCTCAAAGTATGAAACAACTTTGCCTACTCATGCAGATGAGGTATGAATTGCTTTCTGTAATTGTCTGGGTTTTACTATAGGGCCTTAAAATGTTATCAGTGAACCAGATGCCCTGTTTATTGGAAATGTGTACAATGTACAAAAACACCACAAGGAACTGCTTGGCTCTTTTTTATTCTATTTTTTAATGTAATGGTCATATTGCTAGCATTTTTTGTGTCTCCCAGCCCCCCCCCTTTTTTTTCTGTGTCTTCTTCCCTTTCAGTGTACCTCAGCACCTTGTTGACCCTATTGATTCTCTCACAATCCTGATTCTTGGTTTTACACATTTAGCATTTTCCCTATAAACCATTCTTAGGACTCTGTGGTTTTGGTATCTCCTGTTCTTTTTTTTTTAAATATTTTATTTATTTATTCATGAGATACACAGAGAGAGGGAGAGAGAGGCAGAGACACAGGCAGAGGGAGAAACAGGCTCCATGCAGAGAGCCCGACATCGGACTCTATCCCAGGTCTCCAGGATCATGCCCTGGGCTGAAGGCAGATGCTGAACCGCTGAGCCACCCAGGGATCCCCAGCATCTCCTGTTCTAACTTTTTTGATCTACTCTTTATATGTGAAATCTTCATTCTCTTACCTTGTTTGTTATTAACAGTTATTAGCATCATAAGCCACTTAATTATGCTGTTAGTATACCCAGTCTTTGTATCACTGTTCCTTTTGAATTTTACTTTTCTTCTTTATTAGCTTTGATATTTCTTATTGAGAAGTTTTACAGACCAAATACACTTTTTTTGTTTGTTATTCCTTCAAAGTGCTGTCATGGTGGCTTTTAAGTATTTTGTTTTTTAGTTTTATTGAGGGGTAATTGGCATAAATTGTAATATATTTAAAGTGTATAATGTGAACATTTGATATACATATATTTTGTTAAAGGAATCCCATAGTTAAGTTAATTAATACATATGTCACTTCATATAGTTACCCTTACATTAGATCTCACCACTTTTAGCTAAAAATTTGTACCCTGTTACAACTTCTTCCCCTTTACCCTGCCTCCTAGCCCCTAGCTACCACCATTCTGTTCTTTGTTTCTATGAGTTCAACTTAAAAAAGAAATTCTAGGGGAGCTGGGTTGCTCAGTGGTTTGGCGCTGCTTTCAGCCCAGGGCATGATCCATGTCGGGCTCCCTGCATGGAGCCTGCTTCTCCCTCTGCCTGTGTCTCTGCCTCTCTCAGTCCTTCTCTGTGTCTCTCATGAATAAATGAATAAAATCTTTTTTAAAAAAAGAAATTCTACATGTGATACCATGTTGTATTTCATATAAACCATGCATATGTTATATAAAGTATATACATAGTATATATAGGTGTATGTATACATAATGAACATAATGACTGTATGTGTGTGTGTATACATATATATCACATTTTCTTTAACCATTCACCCATCAATGAACACTTAAAATTGTTTCTGTAGAGATGCCTGGGTGGCTCAGTCAGTTAAGCATCTGATTTCTGCTCAGACCGTGATCTTGGGGTCCTGGGATTGAGCCTTGAATTGGGATCCCTCTCCCTCTGTCCCTCCCCCCTCAAATAAATAAAATCTTCTAAAAAATATATATATTTTATTTTTTATTTAAATTCAATTAGCCTACATATAGTAGTTTCCAATGTAATGTTCAATAATTCATCAGTTTTGTCTAACACCCAGTGCTCATCTCATCATGTGCCCTCCTTAATGCCCATCACCCAATTACCCTATCCCCCTATCCACCTCCCCTCCATCAACCCTCATTTTGTTTCCTATAGTTAAGAGTCTTTCATGGTTTTTCTCCCTCTCTGATGACATTCAGTTTTCCTTCCCTTACCCTATGATCCTCTATGCTGTTTCTTATATCTCACATATGAGTGAAACCATATGATAACTGTCTTTCTCTGACTGACTTATTTCACTCAGCGTAATACCCTCCCTCTTCCTCTGCCCCTCTCCTCTCTCAAATAAATAAATAAAATCTTTTTTAAAAAGTTTGCTTCTCTATCTTGCTATCATGAATAATACTACAGTGAACATGGTATGATAGTATAGACATTTCTTGGAGATAGTGGGTTTTTTTTCGAATATATACACTTACTTGTCATTTATATATCTTCTTTGGAATATGACTAGACAGATCCTTGATCCATTTAAATGTTTTTATTTATTTTCTTGCTACTGAATTATATGAATTTTTCTATATTTTGCATATCAACCCCTTACTGGCTAGTGGCTTGCAGATATTTTTCCCATTCCGTACATTATCTTTTCATTTGTTGATGTTTTCTTTGCTGTGCAGAAGCTCTTAAGATGTTGTTTCACCTTTTTTCTTTTGTTGCCTTTCCTTTAGTGTCAAGACTAAAAAATCATTGCCAAATGAATATCAAGGAACTTACCATCTATGTTTTCTTATAGAAGTTTTAGGTTTCAGATCTTACATTCAAGTCTTTAATCCATTTTGAGTTTGTTTTTGTAATGGTGTAAGGCAGGGATCCAGTTTCATTCTTCTGTATGTGAATATTCATTTTTTTCTAGCACCATTTATTAGACAGACTATCCTTTCATCATTG